CTTCAGATCTCAAAGNAAAAACAGACCATTTCTCTTTGAGCCTTCTTCATATCTAAGTATTGCTACTAAGTGCTCTGAGACGGTAACCTGCGTGGAGGGTGCTATATAAGTGCAAGTTGTTGTTGTAGTACTGTGCATTGTCCCAGTTGCTTGTCTTCAAAATTCTATCATTGCGTCCTATATTGAAAAGCCGGGGATATGAAATAAATAGGCAACATTTTAAACATGCTTCTGAAGTATCTTGTTTTATATTTGTTTTATCGCCCACAAATATACAGTCAATTCACTTTACAGTATAATCTGTGAAGCGCTTTGAAATGGTCTCGAAGACGTGAAAAGCGCTATGTCAAATGCAAGGATTATTATTATTATCATTAATGTTTCAGCAAATTGGCTGCCATGTTCAAAACAGTCACTATGCTACACAGAAAAAAAATCTACAAAGTGCTTTGAAATTTTCGAGATGACGAGGCATTGACTGATGTATATTAACTTATATTGTTAAGAAAGCTATCTGTTGTTTTTAACAGCTCGCTTTAGATTTTTTTAACTGCTGCAATCTCTACACACAGTTTCTACGATCTTGCTCATCTGTTAGCTGGTAACGTTCTGCCCGACAACCCCTCAGATAAAAATGCATCTGCACGATTGCTGGCATTCATTTCATGGTTGTTTGTGGTACATTGCTGTGCGCAAATTGGCCGCCATAATCACCTACAAATACAGTCACCAATTTGACAGAAAAAATCTGTGAAGCCTTTTGAAATGTTTGAAGCAATGAGGTTGTTGAGATAATGTTGTCTATTACGTTAGTTTCTTGCAGGTATTCAGCAATTTACCTTCTGGGTATTGATCCCATTCGGTTTTCGTTTGTTGAGGTCAGACTTATCATAGCTCAGTAGTTAGCACCTCTGCTAATAAGGCAACACAGCAGCAACTGCTCGTCAGATAAGCCAGCATTTTCTGAAAGCTATCTCATGCAACTTATTAGGATCCAACTTGCATTAACAGGAATGTTTGATTCCTTTCTTTACCTGTTTCAGTTTCGACTTACTCCCTCAAATTTTTTTTGAACAGCCGGGTGTTTGAAATAGATGCTTAATAGTTAGGGATTTGGTTTCCAGCATTAACAGAATGGATGAATCTCTGGCTCTGCTCCTCCAAATCCTGCCAACAAGCCAGGCTGCCTCTGCTGTAATCATCCGTGCCCTGGAGAAATTTCTATCTTCCTATGAATGCACACTCTCGATCTTGAGGGTCACATCCTGCTTGCCGAATCCAGAGAGTATCAGACGCAGGCTGGCAAGAGTTAAGGCTTGGGGATTCGCAGAGTGAGTGTTAACTCTGGAACACTCTTCCTCTATTCCTCTGCCTTGTCCCTTCCATCCCCATCTTCAGGTCGCCCCTGAAGACCTTCCTCTTCGACCATACCTAGGCTCATCTCCCCCTTCCCCTTGCCATTGAAAGCACTGTAGTACTGTAGAACCAACTAGCCTAGAGGTTAGGGGCTTTATGGCTGAAGACACAGCCACCATTGGTGACGGGGAGAGACCAGGGGATGCACAGCAGGCCTATGTTAGCCAAGCCAAGTACAGGGTGTCCACAAAGTCCTATTAACTCCATGTTTGTTTTTCTACCGTGAGCTGATCAGCAACTGAAACACGTGGAAGAATGATGATAATTGTATTTAGAAGCACTTAATTGTATTCAGTATAAGTGTTTAACTGGATTCAGATGTCCAGAGGATCAGTGTGTGTGTGTGTGTGAGCACCATCAAGAGGTAAGGGGCGAGATAAAAGGACTTTGTGGGCATCCTGTACATTATTTGCAGACTGAACACACTGCAGCCACAGGGGGTCACTGGGAGAAATTGTCTTACAGTCGTGCAAACCATGTCAACAACAGGATAGAGAAAATATTTCAAACTTGGCTGTGTGTTAACCCCTGTTGTTTGCCTTGCGAGCGAATTGCTCAAAGTGAAATATCTTCTGCTATTTTTAGGTTGATCTAAATCCAAAGTAAATCTTGCTGAGGTATTAGCTGCTAAATTGTATGCTTACATTGAAAATTGTTTCACCAAGTTCTGCCTTGTTGTTAAATTAATTGATCTTGGGTGTTATGAATTTCACCCCGGGCAGGCACAGAAATATTTCTTATTTATTTTTATATTACAATTTGTACCCTTTGCGTGCAATATGTATTTGAATACTTCTCTTGAATAAATCGTGTGGCGAGACTTTTTAAATTACCCATGGATGTTAAAGAGCACTCGCTTTGCAAGCGAGAGACCTGAGTTCAATTCCAGGCAGGGCGAAACCTTGGGCAAGTTTCCTTACTCCACACAGAGCCTAATAATAATCCCTCCAAAAACCAAAAACAATAATAAATTGGTCATTTTCAATCCACGACTGTTTGTGGGACATTGCTGTGCGCAATTGGCTGCCGCGTTCGCCCACAAATGTACAGTCAATTCACTTTACAGTGTGTTCTGTGAAGCGCTTTGGGACATCCTCCCGACGTGAAAAGCGCTATATCAAATGCAAGGATTATTATTATTATTATTATTAAAGGTGTCAGCTTGGTTTGGTTGTCAGCACACTGGCTTCTGAGTCAGAATGCTGCGGGTCCAAGCCCCAGGTCGGGACTTTGAACTCTAGGCTGACTCTCCTGTGCAGTGCAGGGGGTGTGTATTTGTGTGTCTGGGCAGTGGGGTTTTCTGTATTGTCGGAGGTGCTCTCATTTGGCCAAGATATTAAACTGTGGAGTCCTGTAGCACATTGGGTAGAACACTTGCCTCGCAAGCAAGAGGACCCAGGTTCGGTTCCCAGTCAGTGCAAAACCTTAGGCAAATTTCCTTGCTCCACACGCTTCTGTATACTTAGCAGTGGATAGGATCTCTGTTGTTGGTCGATTGGCAGATTGCTTTTCCGGGGAGTATTAATCCTTTCAAATATAAATAAAATAATAATAATTTGGCACCTCAATCCATGGCTGTTTGTGGGATGCTGCTGTACGCAATTGGCTGCCATGTTTCGCCTGAAAAATATACAGTCAATTCACTTTACAGAATATTCTGTGAAGCGCTTTAAGACATCTCGAAGACGTGATAAGGCGCCATATCAAATGTAAGGATTATTATATATTATATAACTGAGGACACGTCTGCCTGTTCAGGTGGACACCAAAGATCCTTCGGCACGATTTGAAAAGAGAGGAAGTTTCTTCCAGTATCCTGGCCGACAATCTCCCAGATAAAATTCTGGAAAATCGGGCCATATTGGCTGAAAGCATGGCCAATTCCAATTTCAACAGTCTTCACAACACACCTGAAGACTTTCCTCTTCTACAGTCATCTTCCCTTCCACAACAGTGGCTTGGTGCCAAGCCAGGAAGGAAACGAAGACGTCAGACTGCATGAAGGGCAATAAATATATGCAAATTAATAGTGTATTATTGTACACATATATACCTAGGTGGAATTTCTCCCCACTGAAAGCCAGATTCACTCTTAAAGAAATCCTCATTCTTTGAGTCCTGTAGTAATTAGTATAGTGCGATTCCCGGGCAGGGTGAAACTTTCAAAGTTCCTTACTCTGCACGCCTCTGTTTATATAATAGTAAGTAGAAATCTGGTTGTTGGTAGATTGGCAGATCACTTTTCAGGGGTAATAATCCCCCCAAAAAAAGTTTGGTCACTCAATCCATGAATGGGACACTGCTGTGCGCAATTGGCTGCTGCGTTTTACCCACAAATTACAGTAATTCCACTTTACAACAACAACGTGCATTTATATAGCTCCCTTCATGCCATGTAGCGTCCCAGAGAGCTTAACACTGGTGGAGTCTGACTCCGAGCCGGGGGGAATCAGTCTTTACAATACATTCTGTGAAGCAGTCAGATCTGTGTAGCTTCATCCTAAGGATTCTTCCTCAGCAATCCAGATAACTAAATCACAATGAGCCAATGATGAAAAGCCCAGTGAAGATAGTGAACCAACACAGTGTGCAAAATAACTCCAGGCTCCAAACATTTCCAACAGCTAAAATCTTTTTGAAGAACACACTTTCATCAGAGAGAGCGAGAGATTGAGAGAGAAATATATATTTAATGTACATCAAAGTGTGTTACCTCAGGGCATCTAATCATCACTATCAACCCTTCTGATCTGCAATTAGCTATGCTGGGTCTCTATAGAAATAATATATTCCACTATCAAAAATGCATCAACTTCCAATATTCCAGCCAAAGAGAATTTGACATCAGCTGATGTGTTTGAATTTGTTAGACTGCTTCATGTATTGAATATTAAGAATTATGAATGAAGACAGAATCAACAACGACGACTTGCATTTATACAGCGGCCTTCAGGGAGGGTAGCGCCTCAGAGCGCTTAACAGTGGTAGAACTTGATAGGAGAGAGGGGAGGTGACTGTAGATACGCTCGAAGAGGAAGGTTTCAGGTGTAATCTGAAGACAGGCAAGGAGGGGACAAGGCAGAGAGTTCCAGAGTCTCAGGGCATAGTGGCTGAAAGCACAGCTGCTGTTGGGGGAATGGGAGGCACGAGCAACAAGCAGGAGGCCGGAGCCAGTTGAGCGGAGGCGACGGGTTGTGGAATGGTGTGTAAGAGGGTCGGAGAGGTAGGGAGGTGCCTGGGCGTGAAGCAATTCAAAGACGAATATGAGAAAAGAAACTCCCTTTCTTTTTCGAATAGCACCACAGGATCTTTAACATCCACCTCAATAGGCAGACATTAACTTTATCACAGTATTTTACTGGAAAGATATAGTGGCCCCACCAACCTTCCTGACAACCTGTTCAGTTTTGTTAATCACTTCTGAAACACTTCCTGGTTGTCTGACCTAAAATTGCCCTTTACAACTTTAAACCTATGTCTGAAAGGCACCATATATACTGTCATTTTGTTGTTGTTGTTCTACAGTCTTATATTACTAATCCTTGCATTTGATATAATGCCTGTGCACACACAGGTACCCCTACCTGGCTCGTGGTAGTGCTGGTGTTCATCCTCCTGTTGCTGACTGTGGTCATTTTGAAGTTAATCTTCTTCCTGACGAAAGGAGATAACACGAATGACAACACGACAAATCGTTCCACCGCCAGTGAGAATTATCCTACTGTCAGATTTTTCCAAAGCTTCCAAATGCATTAACATCATGCAGAGATTGAGATGACAGCACAAGACCCACCTCAGAGATTTCCTACTGTTCTGGCCTGAGCTTAATAATGTTCTGACGTGTGTCAGAATCCTCAGAGAGGATTCTTCTACATTAGTGTAGACAGATGCAACTATAGAAAACCAGGACACCATTACTGAGAGAGGAAACATCTCTCTCTCTCTTCCCATGATCAAACCACAATGTTGTGCGCAATCGGCTGCCGCGTTTCACGTGTAAAATACACAGTCAATTCAGTTTACAGTATATTCTGTGAAGCGCTTTGAGACGTCTCAACGATAAGCAATAAGACGCTATATCAAATGCAAGGATTATTATTATTATGTAGCACCTTATCACATTGTTGAGACGTCTCAAACAACTTCACAGAATATACTGTAAATAATAATCCTCGCATTTGGTTTATGAAGTCATAGTAGTTTTTCAACAATAACTTGCATTTATATCGCACCCTTCACGCGGGATAGAGTCCAGGAACGCTTCACAGTGGCGGAGTCTGAGAACGCTTCACAGAATACATTGTAAAGTGGATTGACTGTGTTTGTGGGTGAAACATGGCAGCCAATTGCACAAAGTGGTGTCCCACAAACCATCGTGGATTGAGTGACCACATGTGTTTGGTGGGAGGGAGGTGGATCATGGAAAGCAACATAGGAACCGGAAAAGGTCATTCAGCCCTTCGAGCCTGTTCCACCATTTAATTAGATCATAGCTGATCTGCACCTCAACTAATCCTTTCAATTCCAATTAATTGCTTTCTCCCCATATCCCTTAATAGCCTGACCAACCAAAAATCTATCAACCTCACTCTTGAAGGTGTGGATGGATCCAGCACCCACGGCCTTTTGGGGGAGAGAATTCCAGATTTCTACAACCCTTTGAGTGAACAAATACTTCCTGATTTCATTCTTAAATATCCCCCTTGTTTGGATTTCCCCACCAGAGATACATTCAGGGCCAATGTATCTTTCCTGAGGTATGGAGCCCAAAACTGAACACAGTCTCCAAATGGGGTCTGACTAACACTCTATACAGCTGAAGCATCATTTCTTCCTCTTTGTATTCCAGGCCCCTTGAGATAAACGCCAACATGCCATTCGCCTTTTTGATTACGTTTTGCACCTGGGAACTAGTTTTTAGTGATTTGTTTTTAGTCTTTGCTCCTCCATAGCTCTTAATTTCTCCCCATCACGGAAACAAGAAAAAAGAGCAACCAGGTTTCTACTTACTGCTTGGTAAACAGAGGCATGTAAAGTAAGGTACTGAAGTACTAAAGTGGTTTTGACTGCGTGTTTTGTGGGTGAAATGCGGCAGCCAGTTTCCACCCAGCAGTGTCCCACAAATAGCCATGAAGTAAATATTGGTATAAATTATGAGCGAGACGAGTCCTGTAGCTCAGTGGTTAGAGCACTCGCTTTGCAAGTGAGAGACCTGAGTTCAATTCCCGGTAGGGCGAAACCTTGGGCAAGTTTCCTTACTCCACACAGAGCCTAATAATAATCCCTCCAAAACCCAAAACAATAAGAAATTGGTCATTTTCAATCAACGACTGTTTGTGGGACATTGCTGTGTGCAATTGGCTGCCGCGTTTGCCCACAAATATACAGTCAATTCACTTTACAGTGTGTTCTATGAAGCGCTTTGGGACGTCCTCCCGACGTGAAAAGCGCTATATCAAATGCAAGGATTATTATTATTATTACTATTATATTTAGAGCAGTGTGTACAGTTCTGGTCACCACCGTACAAAAAAGGATATGGGAGAAATCGAGAGGATACAGAGAGGGGAAACAAAAATAATTGAGAGAATGAAAGGACTGGTCTACGAGGAGAGGCTAAGTAAACTGAGCTTGTTCACACTGGAAAAGAGAGGATTGAGAGGACACAATTTCTGTCTTTAAGATTCTAAAGAAGCAAGACAATATAGATCATGACAGGCTATTTCAACTTGTCCAGAATAGTAAAACCAGAGGACACGGGCTGTGATTGAAAGGGGTGAATTCGGAACACACCTACCAAAACACTATTTCACTGAGCGAATAGTAAACCTGTGGAACAGGCTCCCTAGAGAAATGGTTGAAGCAGGAAATGTTGATTCCTTCAAACACAGATTCGATAGTTTTCTCATCTAGCATTTCTTATGTTCTTATGTTCTTATGTGAGTGACCAATTTGATTTGCGGTAAAGTGGAGCGACTATACATTTTATAGGCGAATGTGGCAGCCAGTATGGACATAATAATGACCAACAAACAGCCATGCCACATTTGTGCTTGTTTACTAGGACACCAGGAGAAACACCCTTCTCTTTTCTGATTTTTAACGTCTGCCTGAATAAGCAGACTGTCTGACTGCAGAAATGCAGGCATTTGATTCCACTCTTTCACCCGCATGTCATTGTCTGTAACACCAAGCCAGACCCTAGACCCAGTGTCTGCAGTAGGAGGATTTTGATTAATCTTTATAATCCCAGATATGTCAGATTTGTGACAGGCACCTGATCAATTCCCTTCTGGAAATCCAGATGCATGACATCCACCGCGATCTCTCTGTAGACACACGCTCTTATTTCCTCGTAAAAAAAAATCCAATAAACTAACCTCCTAAATGATTGCCTCTTAAAACGTGCTCCCTGACTCCAATTAACTCATACCCTGTCATTAATTTTATCCCTTATCTCTTTCGAAGACCCTCGGCCTCAATCCCTCCCTCCCTTCTTTCCCACTTCTAATAGCCTATCTCTTTGACTGCGCCCACACATACCACTTTATCTCAGGCCGTCTCCATAAAGCTTTTGGAGACATTTTCCCTATGCATTCTCCCTCAAAACACACAGTCACTCCAGTCTACAGTATATCCTGTGAAACATCTTGAGACGTCCTGCTGACAAAATGCAAGTTTACTATTATTACTATTATTATTAATTGTTGCTATTGTTATCAATGACGTTCAAACATTCACACACATATCCAATGAGAAGCTAACTAACCTATTATTTTTCTGCTTATCTCATGGAGTACACCCAGAATGTGAGTGTGTGAAGGGGCCGGAGTTAATGGCTGCCCTATCTAACTTGCCCAGCTTCCCTCAGTATTCAGTATTCAACAACTACACGTTACAATGCAATGCCATTTAAATTTAGACAGTGCCTTAACACGTCGGGAGGACAGCTCGGCAGGGTGAAACCTTATGCAAGTTTCCTTACCCCACACACCTGATAATAATCCCTCAAGAAAAAAATAATAATTTGGTTACTCAATCCACGGCTGTTTGTGGGACAATGCTGTGCGCAATTGGCTGCCACTTTTCGCCCACAAATATAGAGTCAATTCACTTTACAGTATATTCTGTGAAGCGCTTTGAGACGTCTAGAAGATGGGAAAATCACTATATCAAATGCAACGTTTATTATTATTATCATTATTATTATCTCAAAGTGCTTCACAATGCTTGTTCGTAGCCAAGAGGGTGGGGAGGGGAAAGATGTACATTTTGAGACGTGCCTTGAAAGAGATGAGGGAGGGTGAGAGTTGGAGGGACTATGGAATGGAGTTCATGAGAGTGGTGGCAGAAGATCTGAAAGCCTGCCCGCCAATGGTGGGTAGACAAAGCAGGGGACATGAAGCTGGTTTGCTTGCTGAGCAAAGGGAGCAGCCAGGTGGGTAGGGTTTGAAGGAGATTGCAGAAATAGGGTTGAGCAAGATTGTTGAGGGATTTAAAGGTGAGAATGAGCATCTTGAACTCATATGTACTGTCATATGTTACGCTTACAAAGAGATTTTCAGTAAATGCATACATTACAATCTACATAAAGAATAAATGATTATTATATTACAGCATACATTCTGAATGGTGCAATTTTGAGCTCACACAGTCTAGGCTGACATATCAGTCCAGGCTGGGGGTGTTCTGCAATGGTCCCGTCCTTCAGATGAGAAGATGAACTGAGATCCCGTCTGCCTGTTTAGGTGGATGTTAAAGGTCCCCTGCACACTATTCAAAATGCAAAGGGAGTTTCTCCCAGTGTCTTAGCCAACAACGTCCCAGATAAAATCAATCATTCACATCATTGCTGTTTGTGTGACATTGTGTGTGAATTGACTGCCGAGTTCTCCTACAAAATACACAGTCGCTTTTCAGTAAATCATGAAGCGCTTTGAGACAGCTTGCCAAAATGAAAGGCAGTCTCAAAGGCAAAGATTATTATTATAAATGCAATGCATCTTATTATTACTATTATTGTAGTAACTGGGGCTCAGTGACTTTCCCACTGAGAACAATTTTATTTTTAAACTCCACTTTCCTTTCAATAATTGTCCAATTCAATCTCTGCCCATCTCGCACCTGCACTAATCCGAAGTCCCACTGCTCAGTGAAGGCAGGTGGGAAAAATCATTATTAAATGGATGTGGTGTTAGCAAAAAAATATATTCCAGTCATCTCCTTGCTCCCTGTTAGCTCCACAGCTGGATTTTTGTTATTAAAGTCATACCTTGCCAACAACAAAAACTTACATTTATATATCATGCTTCATGCAGGATACATTAGAGTGCTTCACAATGGAGGAGTTGAATGCTGAGCAAAGGAGAAGGGGGAGACAGACAGCCAAAGCTACTCAACAGAATTTTAACCAAATAGTTCATTCCTTAAATAATGATAATAATAATCCTTGCATTTTGTAAACTCTAGCGGCGATGGCTGAATTGGTACACCCACAGATCTGAACTCCATTTTGCTGATATAAATAAGTTTAATCAAAATAACTGGTTGCAACTGACATCACGAATATTGAAAGACTCATAAGAGTTAGTGATTGGTTATACCTTAAGGGCTAAATGAACATTAGACTTTAAACTAAATAGATCACATACAGTCGACCGCATACTAATCCCGAATACAGTTTGATAAACCATAAGTTTGAATCACATAATATCAAAGGTTTTAAGCGAAAGAGGGTGCATTATGCATGGATGCTTGGAAGTGCGAAACTATACTACCGGTAACTAGCAGTCAATCAGCCGGGTCGGGTAGAAGCAGCGTGCTGGGAAAGGAGGCTGGGTCAGCGGTCAAATCTGACTGGTCTCTGGAGTCTGTGACAAGGCTTCCTTTTTTTCTCTCTCTCTCTCTCGGCTATCTTGTCTCCCTCTGGTGTGTCTGTGGTATTCTGCCTTAATCGATCTTTCCCCTGAAGTCTGCAGTCCAGAGTTCTCCGGTGATCAGCATGATCGACTGGAAGAGCTGCCTGTTGGTGGTCTCTTGAGTTTTAACTCGGTGTCTGTGTTGTTCTTCCTCCTTCAGCCCTCCTGCTCGTCCTGCGAGGAGTCATTCTCAATCTTGAGTTTCTGTGGTTTCGGTCGAAGAGGTCAGCCCTTCGCAATGGTGACCACAGAGCCTCCTCCCCTGTTCTCTCCCCGATCCAAGACAACTTCAGTCACTATCACCTTACAGTCACCATCACCTTCCTTCAGATCACCTCATCTTAACCTGCGCATGGTGTTCATTGTATCGATACCCCTCAGTGATGATTTCTCACGCATTCCTTTGCCCCTCGTGACTCTTCTCCTGGCTCCTAATCTCCTCGTCCCAGGCTCCCTGTCCCGGCCTTGAAACTGTTTTCTGACATGTTTCTTTGTTCTGGAAAATGTAACTTTGTCTAACTTTTTTGATAGCTCTAAACCAGTTTGTACCAGCCTACTGACCGCTAGGTTCAATTTACTGCTGACTTCAGGGGTTTCAAAGGTTATTCAATTGCCTATTTTCCTTAGTAAACAACAGCGAGTACATCACCCATACCCATATGAATCAACCCTTATAGTCATGATTATACATAACAATAGTCCACAATCATCATTATTTACAATTTGATCATGTCATTGAGATGTCTCAAAGCACTTCACAGACTATACTGCAAAATATACAGGAGTAAGGAAACTTGTCTAAGGTTTCACCCTGCCCAGGGAATCGAACCCGGGTCCTCTCGCTTGCGAGGCGAGTGCAATACCAATACATCCCCGTTCTCTTACTTTAAATAAACATCTAAAGTCTTTACATTCGCCTCCAGTCTTTTTTACACCCTCCATTTACTTAATTCGGGTATTACACGCTCCATAATTATCTTTAAACTGAATAAACCACAGGAACCCAATCGCTGCTTAACTGGTCACTGATTCGTGCTCCACCACCATCACGCCATCTCCGACCTCCTGTTGCTCAACCAGTTTTCAATCTTACTAGTTCATTTCTCTTTAATTTAATGATCTATCCATCTCTTTGAAAGCCTCTTAAGTGGAAATGTATCAAATGCCTTCTGAAATCAGGGTAAATTAAACCCACTGAATGGTCTATATTGAAGGTTTTTCATATGTTCAACTCCCTAATGACTTCTCAAAGATCTCCCAGACATTGCACTCTTCAAAGATCTTCTATATCTTAGACTTCCCATCAATCTCCCAAATGTTAGACTCTGCAAAGATCTTCTCCATGATAAACTCTTCAATGAACACCTTGGTCAGCCGCATTGAAACATTCTCACGACGCAAAATGTTTGCTTACTTAATTTCCGAGAGTATTAAGCACAGGTTAGCAAGAACCAATGCTTGGGGGACCCAAGAATGTGCGTTGGGGTAACTCCTGAGGTTTAACCAGTTAAAACTGCACACCTTGCCATTCGTGGTAAGCCTGCAGTTTATCAATGAGTGGGTTAAAGCGTCAACCATTTGGGAGATTAAACCCATAGCAAATTCCAACTCGCAAACTGGTCTTAAAAGTGCTCAAAAGATCAAGCTCCTGCAAGCTTGTTCCACATGGAAGTTTTCATTAAAGAATGAAATCAGACCAAAACCTGCACCAAAACCTGTTGTAAATTAGGATGACTCATGTCTGTGAGTTTCAAACCCTTTTTATTAATTTGGTGGTTGATGCGCAGCTCTTGTTTAATGTTAAATAATAAATAAAATAATCCTTGCATTTGATACAGCACGTTCCATGTCAGCAGGTCTCAAAGTATTTCACGTGATGTGCTGTAAAGAGCCGTGACTGTGTTTTGAAGGCAAGTGCGGCAGCAATTGTGCAATCAGCGATCTCTCAAAAAAAGCTCTGAAGTAAATCACCAATTTTATTTATTTGGGTGATTGTTATCATTGGCATAGACACCGGGAGAAACTCCCTTCTGTTTTCGAGTAGTGCCATGGGATGTTTAACATACACCTGAATAGGCAGACTTGGTTTAGCATCTCATGTGAACAACGTTGCCTCCAACAATGAACAGATACACTGGAGTCCTCTTAATGTGGGGTTTGAACCCACAATCGTCTGACTCAGAGGTGAGAGTGCTACCAACTGAGCCAGGATAAGTTGTAGCATTATCCCCAACATGGCTTGAATGCACAGACTGGCACACATAACAAACTGTATCTGTTCACTACACATGAATTTCTAATTGAATCGTTTTGAACCAATCTCCGAGATAATCTTATTTCAAGCCAGTGATATAGCCCACAAGTGCCTCTTCAATTAATTCAAACACTCAAATCCAGAACAATTACCGATGAACACTTAATCCTAGTTACCCTCTAGTTATTTAAATTATTTATCTCTTGGAGAGACAGAGACAACTTGAGAAGCAATCGCACAATTCGGAGCAATTGACAAACACCACCTATCAATTTGAGCACTGTACTGCAATGTACTAGAACATGAAACAATTTGTACATGAGGGTGAGATTCTTGATAGCAATCTTTTTGGAGACAGGGAGCAAGGAGCCTGGTGAGGATTGGGTTGATGGGCATGCAGAATTTGGTGCAGGTGAGAATGTGGATGGTGGAGTTTGGGTGGTGAGCAGATATTAAAGACTATTTAAGAAAAGAAGGGAGTTTTACCTGGTGTCCTGGCCAACAGTCCCCCAGATAAAATTAAATTGGTCATTTTCATTACAGTTATTTTGTGAGATATTATTGTGCATAAATTTCCTGCTGTGTTCACCTGGACAATACAGTCACTAGTTTCAAGTAAAATCCTGTGAAGTGTTTCACTGAAGTAATAAGGATTTTTTTTATCAACACAATTTGCATTTGTGTAGCGCCTTTCAACAACAATGACTTGCATTTAGATAGCATCAGGGATAATATTAATAATGATAATAACAATAATTCTTGCATTTGATACAGCACCTTATCACCTCATTGAGACGTCTGAAAGTGCTTCCAGAATATGCCGTCAAGTGAATTGTATATATATTTTATGGGTGAAACACAGCAGCAATTGTGCAGAGCAGCATCCCATAAACAGTCGTGGATTGAGTGACCAAATTACCAAATTTTGTTGTTTGTTTTTGGAGGCATTATTACCCCGGAAAGTGACCCACCAATTGACAAACAACTGGGTTCCTACTTATTACTAGGTAAACAGAGGTGTGTGGAGTAAGGAAACCTGCCCAACGTTTCATCCTGCCCAGGAATCGAACCCAGGTCTTCTCGCTTGCAAGGCGAGTGCTCTAACCTCTAAGCTACGGGAACCCAACAACATTTACAGTAAACAAACAAACAAACAGATAAATAGATAAATAGATAAATAGATAGATAAACAAACAAACAAACAAACAAACAAACAAACAAACAAACAAACAAATAAATAAATAAATAAACAAATAAATAAATAAATAAATAAATAAATAAATAAATAAATAAATAAATAGGGGTAGCGTCTTGGAATGCTTAACAGCGGTGTGGTTTGATGCCAAGCTGGGAACGGGAGGTGACCCCCTTTCACATTGGGTGGATGCCTCAAAGTACTTAACACTGTTGGATGGGCACCTAAGTTGGAGGTGGGAGTCAAGAGGGGTGCGGAGGAGAAAGATTATTAAAAGTGCATTCAAAGACGTAGTTCTTGAGATAGGCAATAAACGAAGGGAGGATGGAACGAGTCAGAGGGACTCCAGGATGGAGCTCCAGAGAGTGGTGCAAATAAATTAAACTGTTTACCGTCTAAGCCCATTATATCGTTATAGAAAACCCACAGTTGCACTCAATGATTCAGACAGTAGACAAAGGAATTCTGTACCATTTGTACAATATTGATGTCTAGTCACAGAGGAAGATTGATGATTATGCATTGAAACACCTTGTGAGTGTTACAAATTGACGGAGGTGAAAATAAACAAGGCAGTGGCTAGACTACAGAATAAAATGCATAAATAGTTGCAAACCATGCACCAGAAAGCAACCTTAACTGGAATAAAATTGACAACCAAGTTCATGTCTAATGATATAAGCCAACAATAACATTGTGCCACATGTCATTTTGTACAAGAGGATTTTGAAAATTTATCAGAAGAAAATAGGCCAATCAAGTTGGATATGTTGGAATGTTGAGAAGGTAAATTCATTCAACACTTTAATTTGTTGAAAGGAGAAGAATGTAACATATTCATTTCACCTTCAAATTCCTTTCGCCCTGTTCTATCTTAAGACAGATAGAAATTTAGAGGTAGAGATAAGGAAGTTCCAGAGGTTAGAGGTGTAATAGCCAAAGCTGGACCACAGATGATGGTGGGGATGCGGAGGGAGATGTGTAGAGGTTTTGGGTTAACTGAGCAGTTCAGGCGAGCAGAAGAGATGGAGCAGAGTAGGAGAAGATCACTGAGATAGGGAAGTGCTAGGAAATGAAGGGTTTATAGGTGAGGCCGAGGATTTTGAACAACAACAAAATTACCAAGACGCCCCAAGACAGCCCAAGGCGCTGGACAGTCAGAGTTTGTGGAATTGCCATTGACTCTTACCTCTCAGTCAGAAAGTTCTAGGTTCTAGTTGGATTCAAGCTCCACTTTGGGAGTTTAAGCTGATGCAACAACAACAACAAAATTAAATTTGTACAGAGCCCTTCACGTCAGCAGGACGTCCCAAGGTGCTGGACAATCAATGTTTCGGACCCGAACTAAGGGTTGGGATCGGGGAGGGTGGAGGGCAGGGGGGGAACGGAATGCAATGCTGGGTGTGTGCTGCATTGTCAGATGTGCTGTCCTTCAGATAAGACAGTAACCCAAGGCTCCTTCTGCCTGTTCAGGTGGATGTTAAAGATCCCATCGCACTATTCAAAGAGAGAAGGGAGTTTCTCCCAGTATCTTAACCAACAATCCCACAAATAAATTTGGTTATGGCTGTTTATGGGACACTGCTGGGCATGAGTTCGCCCAGCATTGTCCCATAATACACAATCACTGCACTTTACAGTAAATCCTGTGAAGCACTTTGAGACATCCTCCTGAATTGAAAGATACTGAACCAAATGCAAAGGATTGTTATAATTATTTTAATTGAATGCTCACAACCATGTGACATCGGGTCAGCCAATTACTCATCCGTTCTTCAGTTGCGATCTTTCCAGCCATCTCAGCCCAGGTAATGTCACTGCTTCAATTGTTTCCACACCAGTGACGGATCAGTTGTGATGAATAACCAGGCAGATGAAATGCCAAACTGGTCATAATAGCAGCAAAAAACAAGCTGACTAAGGTCAACTGTAATTGGAAAGCTGTTTTCTGAAGGCAAATATAGCATCGGGCCAGCTGTGTTTGCTTTCTCCACAGAAAAGTATATATAAATTCACCTAGTCCTGAATTCAAGATCCTCATCCTCACCTACAAGGCCATTTACGGCCTTGCACCCTCCTACCTCTCCGACCTACTATCCCCCCACCTACCTGCCCGTACCCTCCGTTCCTCTGGC